GCTGCGTTCATCGACATCTTCACATCAAACACATACGTGATGGTGGTTATGTCAGATCCGTCGATCCCTTCCGCAGCTACTCTGATCAACATTCGCAATGCCAGGAAACACTTTGAGAAGCTGGAGAGAGTGGATGGTCCCAAGCACAGCCTTCTTATGCGTTGAATATTGCCAAAATGCGCTCTCTGAAAATGCTGAATTGCCTTCCCCCTTTTTCTTTTAATATTCATAATGTCGTGTGCTTAAAAGTGGGCTTTGAAATGTGTGCTGCTTACTTCTTCCATCCCTTTCTTCCCTTCTCCCCAGTCTTAAAGCCTTGGACGCTATTTACTCAGCTATCCAGTAGAGCTTCAAGATGGCCTTTCTGAAAAGTTGGTATGGTGTTAACACTAAAGTAGGTGGTGGTGTATGTGTGTATGTGTGTTCTGATTACCTGGTTATAATAGATATACACATCAAAGCCTTTACAATATCTTCCTGTATTCCTTACAAGGTTGCAAAGGTGGAATGTTATTTTATCAGCAAGGTATTAAAATGCATTTATAAATTCTTTTTGGCTTCAACCATGAATAAACATTTGCTGTTAGCAATTTAAATTATGGTCTTATTTGGAATAATTTGAAGGTGGTTAATATTAAAGCTGTAGATTTTGATTGCCCACAAATATTGCTTAACTGGTAAGTTTGATTTTGTGATCTTGGCTCCCATCACCTTAACGATGTTTCATAGCAACTGTAGCAGTGTGGTTAAGAGAAGGGTCTCTGGAGCTAGACCACCTGAGCTGAGTTAGTATTCTAGTCCCTTCACTTACTAGCTCTGTGAACTGGGCAAGGTAGTTAATTTTACTGTGCTTGTTTCCTCATTTGTAAAATATGAATAAGGATAGCACTACTTCATTGGATTAAGGTTAAATTTTAAAAAACATGACATTTAGAACGGTACCTGGCACATACTCAGTAATGTCAGCTGTCAATACCACCCACTGCGCCATTCTCCCTCCCCGCTCCCAAATTACTGGATGTGAAGCCTAGCTAAGTATTTAAGCCCTTACTAAATCCCAGGTATTCTTAAATACTTGATGTGCATTTTCTTACCTAATCCTCACAACCTGTGAGGTAGAGTACTTTTATCTGTTAATAGATGAGAAAACTGGTATGACCTTATGAAGGTTATATACAGCTGAACCTAGGCAGTGTAATTGCAGATCCTCTCCTAACCGTTACATGCCACTACTAACTCCACTGACAGAAAAGTTCATCATAAAAATCCTAGCTTTTTAGCTGTACATTATTCCTTCATATAAGTTCCCCAGTTTTATAGATTGAGTAAACTGAAGCCAGGAAGTTAAATGACTTCTCTCAAAGAATAGTGTTTTGCTTTGGGCAAGATCACTTTCCCATCTGTATTTGTCTGGAAATTGGATAATTTTGAATCAGATTCTTAGATTACATGCTTTTGGGGAAGAATTCTAAGATTCCTATTTTGAATTGGCAGTGTGGTATAGTGAAATCAAAAAACAGACCTAAAGTGCCCCGTTTCAGCCGCCTCGTAGATTGTTTTAAATGAAATCTAAGTATCTTAGAGCCAAAACACCTCTGATCAACTCCTCTCACCTCATTTTACAAATGAGGCATTATCTCTATTTACAGACATTAAATATGTGATAGAGAATTTCCAAACCTTTATAAGTTAAACATTTATTAAATCCTTTATAGCAGCACCTGTGGGTGACAAGATCCCTACCCATGAAGAGCAAGAAGCTGTTCAGATATGTTATTAAACTAGTCTAATTAGGGCCTTTGGCAATAAGCTAGTATAGACTCCAAATGAACTGAGGGTATATATGTACTTTTAAAAATCATTTTAAAATACATTTAATAAATCTAGAGCTAGGTGGTATAATACTGAACATTTATTCAAGACTAGTATGTAAAACATTTACAGATAGTGCCATGGAGGACTCACAAATATTTTAAATTCAGGATGTGGATTTAACATTCACAGTGCATAAGGCGAAAGGTATATCAACTATGTATCTGCAACTTAACGTGAAAGAGAACTTTACTTTAGCAAATACTTTCTTTACATTAAGGAAAATGTCCTTAAACCTATCTTCTTTAATTTTAGTATACTCAGAGTAGGGGAAAAACAGGATTTCCTTTTATACAGGTCTCAAGAATTTAAACTGACTACATAGATCATGGTTAAGAAACACATGGTAAAGAATGGTTTCAAAATACTTGTATTTTTGTTTTCAATTAAATTCCCCCAAATTGATTTTCTTTAACAACAAATAGTATTTATTCCACTTGATAACATTTTTCATGTTAAGCAACATTATATGCTTGTTGTCTTTAAACATTTAAAACAATTAGGACATAATAGGGGCATTATCTAAAGCTTCAAACTGATAGAGAAGTCAGTTTACACACCATCTTATGAATAGTGAATAAAACAAGGTATATTCTGCTGTGAATGTAATGAGAAAAAGTACTCTTACAGCAATAAAGTAGCCCTCCCTCTTTACCATTACTTTAATTCCATCACACAGAGGCAAAGAAAACAATTCCAATACTTCAGTATCTGCTAAGGATGATCTGTGGCCCTTGGAGAATATGTTATGTGTGGACACACCCCATACACATATCTACGTAAGTATATGTCTGTATGTATTCAATCAGTACAACTGGAGAAATCACATACAACCATGAAAAAATACAATAAAAGCAATAAATGAAAAATACTAAGTGAATAAAAGTTAACATAAGCCATAGGAGATTTCAGAGAAGGGACAGTCCCAGGGATAAGAGATTAAGACTTCAAGGTGAAAGTGAGATTTGTTCTGAACCCTAAAGGACAAACTATAACTGTGAAAGGCTGGGAGGTGAAGGTAGGATATTCCAGCTTCAGAACTGTGCATTAAGGTTTTTAAAGACACATGCCCACCAAAGCATTTCAGTTAAAAAAAAAGGCGGGGGGGGAGATCATAGTGGAAGAGGGAAAAGGGATCTATGGAGGAGACCTTATATGCCTTTAAATTTGAACTCAATTCTGGAATTAACAATGAACCATTAGTGGAATTTTAAACAAAGAAGTGTTGTGGTCAAAGCAGTCCCTTAAGGTCAAAAGGCAGGTAATGCAGGCAATATTGGATAAGGAAGAGGAGTCATAATCAAAATGGTTTAGGAGAAAGTGACAGATTTAATATACTTTTGTTTATACTACTAGCATACAAAGGACAGGGAAGAATGCCAAAAACTCTCAGCCTATCACAGGTGTGACTCAACAACGATGTGGTTTTTGTAAATCTATTAATATCCAAAGATATTGAGGTCTTGTGATTCCCATTAATCAGGGCCCACACTTATTGGTGAACTTCAGCTTCCTTATCAGAGAGCTCAGATCTCTAAAGCAGAATGTAATAGTGTACCTAGCTTCTTTAAGATACCCCAGGGCTAAATGTGAATCTCTATCCCCTAGCAGTGGCTCTCAAGCTATTTATTGAGCCTAAGAATTACCAGGGCAGCTCTTTAAAATGCAGATTTTCTAATCCTCACTTTAGACCTACAGAATATGTTTTTTTTTAAGATGTATCCCAGGTAATTCCTCAAGTCCATCTTAGACAAGTCATTTAAGCTCCCTAGCTTTGGTATCATTACCTGTAAAATAGGTACAATATCACTATCTTACAGAAGTATAAGAATTAAATGATATATTAAGTATCCAGGAATAGCTCTGGCCCTTTGTAGATGCTAATACCTTCTTAGCATGTTAATTTTGGATTTACCAATATTAGGTTTCTTAAGACTAGAGGACAGTTTCCCAGTAGACTTACAGAGTCCCTATTTGTTCTGTTAACTAATAAAAGAATATGGCACCTTAGGAGAAGCTTTTCTCTTCCTCTTTCTTTTCCACTGCAAAGAAGGTAGTTAATTTGTGCTTTTCTTCTTTTCTCACAAAAAAAGACTGGCCTTCAAACTTGGATCAAACAAGCAACACAGAGCAAGTAAGCCAAAATGAGTGAAGAAAGACCAAGTGTTAAGCCCATCCACTTCCAGAACTCTAACTTTTCTCCTTGCCAGTTTCTTGGCAAACTGGACAAGGCTGTGATGGTTAAGAGTTGAGGCTAGACACAGGGGTGCTGTAGGTGCTACCACCCTTCCAGTGTGTGCTTAACCTCCTGGTTCGCAGAGGGCAATGGCATGTATTCATCACTTGGATGCTGAAGACAAGCCCTTTACTTGGCCAGGGGGTCTAACTACATGAGGCAAGACACTGTACAAGAGGCCTCACATCTGACTCCCATTTAGAGTCCAGAAGGCCCACTCCTGCAGCCATATCCTACATCCTGGCCTTTTAGTTACTTCTAGGAGGTCTTGTTGGTATATTAAGGAAGGAAAATAGGGTCAAATCCTAGCTTCACCACTGACTTAGCTGTGTAACACTGAACAAGTTATTTAACCGCAAATTCAATTTTCTCAAGTTAATCTGAAGCTATTCTGTAGGCAGTGGGGAACTGATGGTTTTTGAGGAGGAAAGTTAACATCAAAATTAGCTCCCTTAACCTGCTGTATAGCACAGGGAGCTCAGCTTGGTGCTCTGTGATGGCCTAGTTGGGTGGGATGGGGGGTGGGGGGGAGGGAGGTCCAAAAGGGAGGGGATGTGTGTATGAGTATAGCTGATTCACTTCACTGTGCAGCAGAAACTAACACAACATTGTAAAGCAATTATACTCCAATAAAAATTTTTTTAAATTAAAAAAATTTTTTAAAAATTAGCTCCCCCAAAAACAGTGCCCCTCCAAAAAGAACCAGAGTAATTTTTTAATTTACATTTTTTCTGTTAAAAAACTAGAGTTAAATTCTCAAAGTCTAAATTAGACTAAATATAAAACTGCTATACAACCCACTGAATGGATTTATAGTTAGTGTCCCTCAAAAGGATCTAGTCATCTTCCGCCTTTTTCCTTTTTGTAAATTCATTCTGCTCCAGTCTTCACTATCATCACATGTACTTTATTCCATCAAACTTCATTTTTCAGGATCAACCTACCTGAATAATCATTAAGCCTCTTTAGAGCTTTCCCAAACTTAAACTTTGTCATTTTGATTATACACCCCAAAGCATTACTTTCCTCACTTTTTTTGTTTAGTACCAGAATGTTGTAAAAGAAACAATGAAAGTTGTTTATTTCCCTAAAAAGAAAGATCAGTACATCCAATGGCTATTAAGTTAACCACTTAATAAAACACATTAAAAACTACTCATCCTTATGTTAATTAACTGAAATTAGAACATAATGAATTAGTTAACCTAATACTATGCCATTTACTTCATGCTTACAAGATTACGCAAGAAACCAAAATGGCTTCTCATAACTTGTTTGCTTTCCAAATACTTCACATTTCAACCCCATATCCATACAGAGAGAAAATCCAAACATACTCTCCTTACTTAAAATCAGTAGAGAAGGCTAAAAAGCATTATTTAGGACTTTTTTAGACCCTGAAAAAGTTACACTTCCAATGTGTATTTAAATTACAAATGTTTTTATCCTGTGACATTGCTTCAACTTGAGTTCATCATAGTTAAGTTGACTGGGCTACTACTTCATCTTTCAAGTCGGATGGAGATTCTTTTGCATCAAGGCTCTTAATCAAGATTTCTTCTTCTGCAAAATTGACTTCAAAAAGAGAAAAAAGGATAAGCAAACATTATAAAGAAAAAATAGGACAAATTCCAAGTAGTAGCAAATTTCAGTAAAAAGTTCACATGCAAATATGTAACTGCAATAAAATTACCATTATTCTGGGACTTCCCTAGTGGCGCAGTGGTTAAGAATCTGCCTGCCAATGCAGGGGACAAGGGTTCGTGCCCTGGTCCGGGAACATCCCACATGCCACGGAGCAACTAAGCCCATGCGCCAAAACTACTGAGCCTGCGCTCTAGAGCCCGCAAGCCACAGCTACTGAGGCCCGCACGCATAGAGCCCGTGCTCTGCAACAACAGAAGCCACCAGAATGAGAAGCCTGTGCACCGCAACGAAAAGTAGCCCCCACTCGCCGCAACTAGAGGAAGCCCATGCGCAGCAACAAAGACCCAACTCAGCCAAAAATAAAGAAATAAATTTAAAAAAAAAAAAAGTAAGATGGGAGTAGGATAGGCCCTTAATCTATAGGACTGATGTCCTTGTAAGAAGGTACACAGAACACAAGGGGAAAATGCCATGTGAAGATGGAGGCAGAAGTGTGTTATGCTGCCACAAGCCAAATAACACCTGGGGGTTATCAGAAGCTAGAAGAGTCAAGAAGGATCATCCTCTAGTGCAGGGGTCCCCAACCCCCAGGCCGTGGACCACTACCAGTCCGCAGCCTGTTAGGAACCAGGCCGCACAGCAGGTGAGTGGCAGGCAAGCGAGCGAAGCTCCATCTGCCGCTCCCCATCCCTCGCATTACCACCTGAACCTCCCCACTCCCCACCATGGAAAAACTGCCTTCCACAAAACTGGTCCCCAGTGCCAAAAAGGTTGGGGACCACTACTCTAGTGGCTTCAGAGGGAACACGACCATGCCAACACCTTGATTCTGAATCCTAGCCTCCAGAACTTGTTTTCTCCAGAGACAAAAAATTTCTGTTGTCTTAAGCCACCCAGTTTGTGGAACATCTTTACAGCAGCCCTAGGAAAGTAATACAATGACCTACCTTGTTTTGTCACTGTGCCCCCATCAAATTATTTCAAACGAAACCACAGATACTATATTATTTTATTTATTTTTTAATTCAAACGATTTATTTATTTATTTTTTGGCTGTGTTGGGTCTTCACTGCTCTGCACAGGCTTTCTCTAGTTGTGTCGAGCAGGGGCTACTCTTATTGCAGTGTGTGGGCTTCTCACTGCGGTGGCTTCTCTTGTTGCAGAGCACGGGCTCTAGGTGCATGGGCTTCAGTAGTTGTGGCACATGGGCTCAGTAGCTGTGGCTCGCGGGCTCTAGAGCGCAGGCTCTGTAGTTGTGGTGCATGGGCTTGGTTACTCTGCGGCATGTGGGATATTCCTGGACCAGGGAACAAACCTGTGTCCCCTGCACTGGCAGGCAGATTCTCAACCACTGCGCTATCAGGGAAGTCCCACTATATTATAATGATATTTAACATAGCATTTCTCAACTTTAGAACCACCTTCCATTAGCCAAAAAGATTTTGACAAGGTTTACTTTCAGTAGTTTGTATTACAAAAGCAATAGGTTTCAGGTTTTTGGTTTTGTTTTCCACACCTGTCCCATACCAATTGTAAGCTATATAAAAATCACTAGAAGGGCTTCCCTGGTGGCCCAGTGGTTGAGAGTCCGCCTGCCGAAGCAGGGGATACGGGTTCGTGCCCCGGTCCAGGAAGATCACACATGCCGCGGAGCGGCTGGGCCCGTGAGCCATGGCCGCTGAGCCTGCGTGTCCGGAGCCTGTGCTCCGCAACGGGAGAGGCCACAACAGTAAGAGGCCCACGTACCACAAAAAAAAAATCACTAGACATTCTGAAAGTACCCATAAAAATGGGTTCACTCTTCTCATCCTAGTTGAAGGAATAAGGAGCATATTTTGTCATGTTATCAATAAAGATCATGTAACATTCACTGCATATGCTATTTTTAGGAGAAGGTGAGAGAAAACTTCAGCAGGGTAATATGCACATTATCTAGTTAAATCTTACCTGTTAAATTAGGTAGATGTTCTCCAAGACTACATGGTATTGTGGTCCTCAATCTTTGTTCCACTGGAGAAAACTTAATTAGTGGTGAAAGAGACCGTTTTCTTTCACCAAGGGACATGCGTGAAGATGGTTTTGTACAGTCAATGTGCAAATCATGAGTGCCCAAAAAGTTAAGCATATCATCAGTTTGCATGTATTGGGAAGTAAGGCTCAATTCTGGTTTGTGTCTTTCAAGTGTTTCAGGATTAGAGAGGCAAATTTCTTCCCTTTGCTTGGGCAGAGATTTCTTCAGAGCCTCATATCCACTGCAAGTAGCCTGTAAATTAAAGTCTGATTCTGGAGTATTCTGTCTTCCTCCCACAGCACCTTCTGGGAAAATGCCACTGTGCATAGGACTATTTGGTTCCAGTTTAAAATTGGCCTCTGTACTACTGGAGCTATTAAGACTTAAGTGACCAACTTCTTCTGGAAGAGTTTCATGTAATATGCCAAAATCACTATCTTTAAAACTGGAACTAATTCCACTTGATATCTGAAAAGAGTTCCATAACATACTTTTATGCATGGAAAGATCTTTGTGAGAAGCTTTCGAGTGGTCTGATATTTTAATATACTCTTCCTCACTGCTACCTATCACAGCCCTCCTATTGCCTGCAGCAGGGGAGAATGTCTCTATTTGGCTCGTTTCTAAAAACCTGTTCTGTAAAGCTGTACATTCCAAATCTTGCTTACAAATTATGTCCTTATTTAACAAATCTGACAGATTCTGTGTTGTTGGTTCACCTATGCAACTGGTTACCACAGGCTTCTGAAGCACACACTTGAGGCAATCTGAAACAACTTTCTCTTCAGGCAAATGAAAATGGCTAGAATCGGACACAGTGGTTGCTGAGAAAAAACTGTCCACGTTAAGCTCTTTCTGATTATGCACCACAGCTAAGGATTCTGGCAACACTTCTCTACGTTCAGTATCCATTTGAATTGGTTCTGTACTTCTGTTATCTTCTATTTTAACAGCTTTTCTCCAGGAGCTCCTAATTTCACTTACTGATTAAATGAAGGGGGAAATAACACAAGTTATTAATAAATTCCCAAATAGAACATGCAATTAAACATTTCATTTCTAGTGCTTAAGATAAAACTGCTGACTCAGTACATGTTCATAGATATGCCAGTTGGATGACAAGGCTCCACAATACACCAAAGCCCAACAACATCAAAGAATTCCATCTCCAACTGACCACACACAAAAAACGAAAGGTGTTCCTGAAATGTGCATATACTTTCACAGAGTACATACACATCACATGTATTAAAGAGATATTTTCTTAACCATAATTCAAAGAGTCATGTACCACAATGTTCATTGCAGCTCTATTTACAATAGCCAGGACATGGAAGCAATCTAAGTGTCCATCGACAGGTGAATGCATAAAGAAGATGTGGCACATATATACAACAGAATATTACTCAGCCATAAAAAGAAATGAAATTGAGTTATCTGTAGTGAAGTGGATGGACCTAGAGTCTGTCATACGGAGTGAAGTTAAGTCAGAAAGAGAAAATCAAATACCGTATGCTAACACATATATATGGAATCTAAAAAAAAAAAAAGGTTCTGAAGAAACTAGGGGCAGGACAGGAATAAAGATGCAGCTGTAGAGAATGGACCTGAGGACACGGGGAGGGGGAAGAGTAAGCTGGGACAAAGTGAGAGAGTGGCATGGACTTATATATACTATCAAATGTAAAATAGATAGCTAGTGGGAAGCAGCCACATAGCACAGGGAGATCAGCTCAGTGCTTTGTGACCACCTAGAGGGGTGGGATATGGAGGGTGGGAGGGAGATGCAAGACGGAGGAGATATGGGGATATATGTATATGTATAGCTGATTCACTTTGTTATAAAGCAGAAACTAACACACCATTGTAAAGCAATTATACTCCAATAAAGATGTTATTTATAAATAAATGAACAAACAAATAAATGGAAAAAAAGATATTTTCTTGCCCATCTAGGCCAGGGTTTGGCATGTGTGTGTGTGTGTGTGTGTATATATATATATTTATTTATTTATTTACTTACTTATATATATACAGCATAAACACACACACACACACACACACACACACTTTTTCTATAAAGGGCCAGATAGTAATACTTCAGGTTTTGCAGGCCATCTTATCTGTGGTAACTACTCAGCTCTGTCACTGTAATGTGAAAGTAGCCATAAACGATATGCTGACAAATGAACAAGGTTGTGTTCAATGCAACTTTATGTACAAAAACACATAGGGTGGGCCAGATTTGGTTTGCAAGATGTAGTTTGCCAACCACCAATCTATACAGTGGCTAGGTTCAACCTGAACTGAATCCATTTAACTTTGGATATGTCATTTCTAGTAGCATAATGGAAATTATATTTAATCACTCACCCAGGATGATGTGCCTACATGAGGACAAGAATATCAGAACTTTGCCCACACAATACAGGTTGTAAGAAGAAAGTACTGGGGAGTCTGATTAGCTTGGGAGAGGTAGGTAAGATCTCTGTACAGAGTTTTTGGCTGATGCTGCTGCTTGTTGACTGGAAGAATACAGCCTCCATACTCTATAAATATTGATCACAGATCAGATGTGGAGGCAGAGGATATTTCTGAAGTGATCGACTAAAATATTTTCCACGAAAAAGCCAAGTAAAACAACAATAACAAAATTGTACAGTTCCAGGGCAAAATATTACTGCTGAAGGACTGCCATATAAGTGACAGTGCCCACAGTTGATATTTCAATAAAAGTCCCCCACATGAAAACAAATAGAGCCAATGCCACTAAATTGAAAGATACAGAAAAAAGTTTTAAAGTGAGTTTCCAAAAGATTTGTCAGACCATGGTTCTAATAGTAGTAATGTCTAAGAAAGAAAACAGTGACAAAAAACATTATTAACTTACTCAAGTTTTCTGGAGTTCGGGGAATTTGATTCCTTGTTAAGAACGGGTTGGAAACTAGAGAGTCAATTAGTTCCTCTAATATTACTTCTTTTCCTTTAGAAGGCTGTGGTGAATCAGATAAAACTGCTCTTGCAACCTAAAACAGAAAAGAAAAAGTAAAGCAAAAATTACCAAGCCCACTGGTAGAATGCAACAAAGGCCCTGATAAGAACAATAAGCACAAAAATAAACTCAACAATGTAGCTCCCAGACACTCCATATAGACTCTCCAGGCACAATCCTATTAAGGTGAAATCAAACCCCAAACCCGTTTCCTCCCTTCCTCCCTTATCTTAAATGGATATCCTGTTATACAGGAGAGCAAAGATAAGAAATCTTTACACTTGGAAAGATTTAGATATAGTTCTGACTGCAGTGATCTGAACTACTATCTGCCACACTTTTAACCTTCACAATTCCATATCTGCTAAAATGACTGGTTCTAAAGCATGCAGGTTCTTCTTAATTATAATCCACCACACGGTAACACCTCTACTAATAAACAGAGTACATTCTAACAACAAACTTCTTTGCCAGAAATCTCATCATCAGACATAAATTAGTGAAAACATAGGGATACATTTCTAAAATAGAGAAAAGAAAGTGTACAATATGAAAATAGCACTCTGTATTAACATTTTAATAAAACCAGAAAGCAAAAAAACAAGCAAATTAAAATCTCTGCACCCTGAAATCCTGAAAAAAGAAACTGCCTACAACCATAATCAAACTGACTCCAATTCACCCTCCTCCATGAAAATAGAGGGCTTCTTAGAATTCTAACACTAAATATTCCTTGTCATAAACACTATTAAAGAGAATTAATTTCACTTTACTTTCAGAGTTTTATGAGATTTTAGGGCTCTCCTCTTCCATCCTATCTCATTCCACTGCTACTGTAAATTCTTCTAACCAGAAAATGTGCCTTTCCTCCCATATCAGGAAAGAAAAAAAGAATGACTAATCATCTTTTCTTTAGTATAGAGTCAATCAACTAATACAGAGAAACAATAGAACTTTAGAGATTTAAAAATATTTAGAGACCATGAAACTGGTCCAACTTCCTCAAGTTGCAAACAAGAAAAATAACTGACAGCCAGCTCTCTTATTTGGACAATATTAACTTTTTTCACGATCAAGATAAAGGAGGGAACTCCAATACCTGAATCAATATGCACTAAACCAAACTTTTCTTTCAGTCTCTCAGGAATGTAAAACAGCTGATTTATTTTCTGGCTGTTTATCCAAATTCAAACAATGGGAAATATGTAATAAAAATAATATTAAAGAATGAATGGCCTGACCATTTCATTTGTATAAACCGAGTTCTGTAATACTCAGCAGTAGTCATATTATGTGGTCACTTGCCAGTGAAAAGTAGAAAAGTATTAAGGAACAGAGCTGGTTAAGAAAACCAAGATCATAAACAATCATGTATTTATTCACTTTTGAAATATTTAAAAAGCAGAAGGACAAAACCTTCACTCGGTGATAATATATTGTATAGTCTTTGTTCTAAAATTCAAAAAAAGAGGAAGCTCAGCTAAGCAACAGATAACATTCACAGAGTATTTTAATAAGTATAATCATTGGGTGTATTTATCCAACAATTTATGTAATGGTTAATTCCAAAAATATTATACATGTATTATTTTTATACTTTTGGACAGTTACAGAATGGGACATGGGTTCTAAACCATGGATATAATCTTAACTAAATAAGTTTATTTTATATCTGTTTCTGCTTTTGGGGAGGACCAATTCTGCTTTAGCCATGATTTTTATTGTCTGTGACCTCTGTCCCAAATTACGCCTAATCAATAATTAACTGTACTTCACTTATAACCCCAGCACCATTTAAAAAATGACATTTCAGTATACTTATTACAATCTCTTTCTAACCTCTTCTACCAGATGATCTTGCTCTTTTTGGAATGGATCACTTTTTTTAGCTGGCAGAGACCCTCCAAATGCACTACTCTTTCCAATATTTGATGATGAAGAGTCTTCCGCTTCCAATTCTGGTGCTTTCTTAGAAACTGTTTCATTTTTCTCTCTAGGAGTCGTCAACTTCGTTTCCTGAGTAAGACAGACATGTAATGTTAAAACGTTAATAATTGTACCTGATCTTCATTGTACCTGATCTTCATTAATGTTAATCTATAAAAGGTTAACATTATTGTAAAATTAAATGTTCACTGGCACAGTTTAAAAATTCCAGCATTCCCATTTAGAAGTAATAACTAATGTGTAAACAGGAATGGTAGATAATGTGCACATACTAGCAAATGTGAAAATAGAAATTTAATTGGGATATCAACAAAAGTAAAGAATATTTTATCATATGTGAGTATGGTCAGAATTAATTTTAAATTGTTTTAAAATGTACCTTTTCAAGTAGTGTAACACTGTTTCTATCTGATGGTGGAATGGGCTGCAACAGGAAAGAAGCAGGGCTAAAAGGAAAAAAAATTAATAAATCCAAGTTATGAGTAAGAAAGAATTCCATTCACTTGATGTATCTGAATATTCTAAGAAAACTGTCTGCCCCGTATCTGTCCGTTACGATTTCACTCAATTCGTCCCGGTCATCAAAAGGCAGTTATTATTCTAGGGAAGTATAGTGACAATTAGAGCAGTACTTCAGCCCAATTTGTGTATCAGCCTCCCAAGTTAATGACCATTTTCCTTACCCAGTATGTATTTTAAGTCAACAGCATTTTTTACAAGGGTTAGATGACTTGATGAACACTCAAAAACTTCAGTACAAAGTAAAAACAAATTCAATTAGGGACTTCCCTGGTGTCGAAGTGGTTAAGAATCCATCTGCCAATGCAGGGGACACGGGTTTGATCCCTGGTTCGGGAAGATCCCACATGCCGCAGAGCAACCAAGCCCGTGCGCCACAACTACTGAGCCTGCGCTCTAGACCTGTGAGCCACAACTACTGAGTCCGAGTGCCACAACTACTGAAGCCCCTGCACCTAGAGCCCATGCTCTGCAGCAAGAGAAGCTGCCGCAATAAGCCCGTGCACCGCAACAAAGAGTAGCCCCCGCTCGCCGCAACTAGAGAAAGCCCATGCACAGCAATGAAGACCCAATGCAGCCAAAAATAAACAAAAATAAATTAATTAAAGAAAAAAATTCAATTAACTAGAATCACATTATTACAATGTCCTCAGGCTTCAGACCACAGAAGCACTGTAGCAGAGACTAAGATTCTTTTGATATTTCAGGTCCAAAATCAATTTCTTTTATGCTGAATTTTCTATAGCAAATACATTACACTTACAGTAAAGTCATGAGGTTATTCAATTTGAATTTGCGGCATTCCACACATAGTGTTCCTTAATCTCTTAGATACTCTTGCCCCTTTTGGCAAACATGAAAACTTTATGCATCTTTTCACTATAATTACAAAATAAGTTATTAAATTTTTTAAGCCTTCAAACTAATGATAACTTTATCTTCATCTTGAAAGTGCCTTCAAATTCAATCATGGATTGGGTCTGCTCACTGACCAAAAGCTTTTCTACTCTAGGTAAAGTGGAGGCAGGATTACCACAGAAACCACCTTCAACATCAAGCATGCCAGTGTTTTTCTTTTCTGTTCATAGACAGAAAAGTAAAAAATTAACAACTTTGCAAATATTTTATATAATAGCAAATATGACTTTCAAACTTTTTCAAATGTGCCCTTCTTGAAATCTACCTTCCAAACATAATTCAAAATCACTGAAATTGCTCAAGTTTCAACTTCGCCTCCACAGAATATAATCTAGATATCTAAGGCAAAAGATTAGTGATTACTATCTAGTGTGATTTTATCCACATTCTTCCCCAAAATTGACGTTAAAATGATCAGAAAGCCCTTTGAAGCAGGGCCAGCAAGCTATGGACCAATGCCACTAAGATGCCACCAAAAGACTGGTGAGCTCCTTGAGGATGACTATGTCTTACCAAAGGCTATTCCCAAGTCCTAACACAGTGCCTGGCACTTGGTAGTGTCACACGATGGATCAATGAATAAATGTCACTTGAAGATGAGGTTCTATAGATGCCACCAAATTTTTCTATCTGAATCATTCTTGCAGAGTCTCATAATAGAGAAAAATGGAACCACATTCTATACCTCCTCTCTCTCATTTCTGAATTGGCAACATGCTATTAGCCTTGTTAATATCTCAATTCAAGTCAACTTCAAAGCAGCCCTGGCTCAGTCCTTACTCTCTACCCACTTGCCAGGCCAAAACTGAGGCCCATGAAATCCAGATAAAAAGGGTATTGATCCCACTGTGGAAATTAACCCTAAAAGCACTACCAAAAGGAAAAAGACATGCTTTTTATAGCAGCAAAAATTTTGAGGAAAACCTAAAGTCTAAAAATAAATGAAATGTTAAAAAGCTATTTTAAGTGGTAATATAATGTTAAGTAAATATACACACACACTAAAGAAACTGCATTTATGCTATGTTAATGTTGAGAAAATTTTGTATTTTAGAATACAAGACTTTGGAATTGGAAATAAAGCTAAAAAAGAACTTGGGAAAGAATCTGAGAAGTGATTTATTGGAAATTGGAAATTTTAGCTAATTATTTTTTATTTTCATTTGTTGTTGTTGTTATAATATGTCTACAATTAACAGAGAAATAATAAAAAGAGAAAGGAAATAACAAAATGAGATTAGAATTCAATTTCTAAGACTAAGGATGTTTGTTTGGAATGCATGCAAGATCATACTGCCCTATCTCTGAAATGTAGTAAAGGAGAAACTGTAGAGGTTAAAGGTCTAGAAGAACTGCATCACCACCACTAGAAATATCATGGAACCCTCCTTTCCAGAAACCACTGCAAAGAAAGGTAGTACCCACAGTGTACAGCAAAGGCATCATCAATCACTGAATTCTGATTTTAAGTATGGTGCAGCCTCCATGAGCTCACTCTGATCAAAACTAAGCCAGGAGATCTATGGAAAAGACTACTTATATTTTAGTACTTGTGAATGAAAACCACATGTGAAAGGGCAAACAACACACTTACTCTAAAAACTACATTCATCTCATGCTTTTTAACTGCATAATTATATTAACCATATCCACATATGAATTTCCCAATTAACTACACTGATATTGATGTAAGATGATGCCACTACAAATAAAATATTTAGTATAATAGCTGAACTACATGCCAAAAACAGGGTATTTCTTTAAGTGCAGTCTATCCACGTTACACATGAAACATTTTATTACAAAATACCTTTTACAGTAAAGAATTCTGAGCAACATGTTTACTTCCATATCCCAGTAACTCAACTCTTTACCTCTCTTCTGTTCTCCTATTAGGCAGTAATAACCTTTCATTTCCCATTAAGCGTTTATCCCTCATCACCAAAAGCCTTCCTCTACCTCCTTTCAATATCCCAACCTATAAGTAAAATAAAGAGTGAAAAGACAGTTAAAAGATCCAAGAGCTTAGAAAAGGATAAATGTGGAAGTCAAAATTATTTAATACAGGGGCTTCCCTGGTGGTGCAGTGGTTGAGAGTCCGCCTGCCGATGCAGGGGACACAGGTTCGTGCCCTGGTCCAGGAAGATCCCACGTGCCGCGGAGCGGCTAGGCCCGTGAGCCATGGCCGCTGAGCCTGTGCGTCCGGAGCCTGTGCTCCGCAACGGGAGAGGCCACAGCAGTGAGAAGCCCGCGTACCGCAAAAACAAACAAACAAAAACAAACAAACAAAAATTATTTAATACAACTTCTTCCTATATTAAGAGAATTCTATTTGAATTAAATTCTTAGGGGCTGAGCATCTGGCTCCTGTAGAATTCTGATAGTACATCTTAGTACAAAATTCTACTTCAAGAAAGAATCTTGAGGTTGAATGGAATTCATAAATAAAATCAGATTTGTGAATTAATCTACTAACTCCATCAATCTTTAGTCCAACAAGAGACCTTAAATCAAAATATTTAATCTGCTCTCTCAAGGAAAGACAGACCAAAAACATAACTGAGATCGGGAAGCACCAACTATTTCCCTCTAAGAGGCATGCTTTAAGAACAATTGTGATAAGGGGCTAAAATTAGCAAGCCCAATAACTTTCTAATTTCTTCACTTTACAAGGTCTTTCACTGCAGATTTCATTCTATTTCTTTAGGTACTCAGAAAATCAACATCACACCCAGATCTAAGAACAAAAACAGAATTCTCCCACAAGTAGTCCTGACCTCCTATGAACCAGAAAATTTGCAGAGGAAACTGCCAATAGCGTAATTTCACATGTAAGTTTTGACAACAGTTATGGTATTTCAACTTAATAACTTATTAAGAGTATACAGAATGAAGGGGGCCTCAAGTCACTTAAAATTTAGAATTTTCTTTTAGAATTATCCTAAATATTTTGTTTCCATATCTGTGCCTCATTAACATGGGGAAGTTGACCTGAAAATCGATTATTTAAATCAAAGGTTAATCGGAAAAAGCAAAATAATAAAGGAATCTATTTAGCATATCTGTGTTTGACTGCTACTAAATAATGTTTAGTTTCAATAAGGGACAAACACATTCACATTTAGTTTAGAGATTTCTGCTTTCATAATCTGGCATCAGTTTATTTAAGGGATAAATAGGATAATAGAGGAAAAAAGACAATAAATAAAGAATACTCCTAGTTATAATAGGTTCAGTTTTTTCACATGCTAAATTTTGGGATTAGATTGAATCAGAAGTCTTCCCCTAAAAAATTTTTTTAAGTACAGAACTCTTTTTATCAAATGGCATATAAAGCCCCAATATATAGTACAGATAAAACAGTAGGCTGCTTAGGTTGAAGTGGGAAAGGCTCGAACAGTCACAGGTTAAATCTGATTCATCCACAGCACCAGAGGGCGCTGCAGAACACAGACTGAAAACTACCAACTAGACTACCAACTAGATCATCTCAGAAGTCCCTAAACTCTTGGATTTAGTCAACAGCCACAAGTGATTTCAAAGAGGTTCACAGACACAAAAAGGCAAAAATTCCCAAACTTGCATTAGATAATTTTCACATATGTCTTTTTCTTCAAAAATTACATAATCCCCACTGAGTCCCAACATTTAGGTAAGAATAGAGGGAAAAAATGCCCTTGCATCAGAAATATTGAATCTTTCCTGAAAACGTGGATCCGCAGTAGAAAAACACTGTCTGGTTAAGAGAAGAAAGTTATGAGCTATCTCACAGTGGAGAAGCTTGAAAGCTGCCTGAAGATGGGACTAAAATTAATTAAGAGAAAAAAAATCAATTTGAAAATCAAATTTCTTTTACCTGTTGGCTAGATCACATTTAGTTTCCAGTATATCACTTGCCCTTCTGCAATCATTTTCCTGGATATGTTGCTTATGTGTATCTAAAGGAATAGAAAAATTAATTACTCTTTAATTATGTTTGTACATTCTAACATTCAGAGATCTCTTGAAGTTCTACAACAACTTCTAAACAGAAGAAAACAGAAAAATAAAATAAATGTTAAAGAAAAAGACAATTATTCAATTATTAAGTATAAAGTAGTATGCATGACAGTGATGGAGAATACGTACAATAGGCTTTTCTAGAAAGATAGCTCACACAAAGTTTCCCAAAAAGGGACAATCCATAATTCTCAAGTATTATATAGCCATGCTTCATGTTTAAGTACACAGATAATGCAATTACCACATAAACCAGCCAAAAAGTTATAGTACTTAGCATATTTTAGCCCAGCATCTATGACATCAGTCAACCTATGTTATTTATTCTTCAACATATCATTTAATAACTATGTGTCATTACTGCACTAACAATGGGAAAAAGAAATTTTAAATGGAGACCTGTCTTCAAGGTGTCAGTACAGGAAAGACTATTAACAAGTACATAAAGAATTATGGTATACTGCTACAGTATTATGACACAAGTATGCACAGAATGCAAGGAGGCAGAAAGGCACCCGGCCCAGAGTGGGGAACATGAAGAAGCCATGAAAGTACTAAGAGAATAAGTTGCATGTTTCGTGTGCCACAGCATAAGGTATATCTAGTGGAAGCATGACAGGCAATGAAATTGATGACAAAAGCCATGGCTATATTTCAAAGGATTTGATATTCCAGGAGCTCCTCTTCTTTCAACATGTTAGCTTCTGAAACACTATTTATACATGTGTCCAAAGTGTTACTGCATAAGAAGCCAATGTGTATACTATGTAAAGTTTTCCTTTTAATTCATCATACTGCCACCTCATAACATTCTCAATACCCTATGCTTTTGAACCTACTAATTATGGTGGAGTTACTGTTATTTATAAAACATTCCAAAAGTAAGCACAAATACAACTATACCACAAGCTTAGTAGACAACCATTAACTAAAATGATGATACAGTCAACATCTTGTTATAAGCTATAATGTTAAAGGATTGAAAAAGAATATATGTGTGTATACACACACACACACACATATATATATATATATATATGTTCCATTTCAGAACACTGAATCACTTTGCTGTACACCTGAAACATTGTAAATCAACTAATTTTTAAATGTTTTAAATTTAGAGATTTTTAAAAATAAAAATGATGATGCACAACTTTAAACACCATCTGGTGGTGGTAGGCAGAGTTCATGCACATTTGTTCTGGTATGAAAGAAAGTCTGTAAGGTAAAAGTTGCTAAGTGAAAAAGCATCTAGAGCCTTTTTCTCTTTTCCAAAGGTGATAGGTGATAGAAAGCCACTGGTGGGTATTACGCCAGGAGATGAAAAGGATCATATTTACATTACAGGAAGATCACTGATAGCCATTTGGAATACAGAACTGATAGACTATTGGAGGCAGAGTAGCTAGTTAGAACACCATCACATGCAAGAAATGATGAAAACTAAACTTAAGATGCAAAGATAGCAAAGGAGGGCACAGTCATAATAGTGCATTTAGGAGGTTAAAACAAACTAAACTTACCGCTACAAAGCAAACGAAACTAAAGCAGACACTGACTCCTACTGTAAAGACACTACAACTACTAAATAAAATGTAAGAAAAAAGGAAAGCCCAGAAGAATAAAAATCATCACATGACAGAACCAAAGATAGAAAGCACAACAAGCAGGGTAAACTTAAACTGAGAAACAAGGGCTCAATGAGGCAGGCTCCAGGGGCTGAACACAGGAGATTTAAATGCCTACAGGTAACAAGAAACATCATCTCAGGTCTCTCAGGCTGGGATCTGAGAGACCACCATAAGACAAGACTGCAAAGACTGCTCTCCCTCTGAAAAGGGATTATAAAAATTCTGCCAACTGGACAGGGAAAGCCTGCTGTCTACCTGGACTCCTTGGTGAAAAAAAGTAGAGAAGGAAAGAAGGAAAGATATCTAAAACCTAGCCTACTCAAAAGGAGGTATGAAATCCATAATTATACTGGCTACTTGTTTTAGGAATCCCAAACCAAAGACATTAACTGGTCTAGTTCAAAAGAAATCCCTGGGACTCTTGGCCACTCTGTAGAGACCTTCTGCAATCCTGGGCCCACATGACTCCTCCAGAGGTGGGGGACCCACTGAAGTTGAGATTTCGTTCAAATGTTTTAATATTAATATTTCAATAGAACATCAGCAGGCAGAGCATACAGGAGAAGTACCTGAAATGAAGAGATACTGGGATTGATAAGGATAAAAATCAGTATATTTAAATGATCAACAAAAAAGAAGCAACAGGGGCCATAATGAAAGAAGATGACACCATGAAAAAGAATGGGCAGTTTTGAAAGAAGAAGCAAATAAAAAATACATTCATGAAAACTAAATACTAAATGGACAGGTCAAAAAGGAGATTAAACATAAATAAAGAGATAATTAGTGAACCATAGCGAGATACAAAGAAAATACCCAGAATGCAGGTCCAGAGTTACAAAGAGGTTATAAATATGAATGAGAAGTTATGAGATATGGGGGACAGAATTAGAAGTCCCAATAATATGAGGGATAAAAGAAAAGGACCAAAAGAATGAGAGAGGGGGTAATATTACAAGAGATATTAGTGAATAAGTTTCCAGAATTGAAGAAAGATAGGAGCCTTCACAATGAATAAGCACACACAAGTTCCAAACAGGCTAAATAAAAACACATCTACATTTAGACACAGCTCAATGAACCTGCATAATCTTAAAAGCAACCAGAGATCAAAAATTACCTACAAATGAACGACAATTAGAGAGACAGCAAATGTTTCAAAAACAAAAGAAGGCAGAAAGCAATGAGATCATATTATTAAAGTCCCAAGGAAAAATAAGTATTGATCTTGAATCCAAACTATCATTCATAAGTAAAAACAAAGACATTTTCAAAGAAAGACTAAGAGATCTTACTATTCAGGGTCTGTCACTAAAAGAAGTGAAAGATATACTTCAAGATATACCTCTCAAAAGGAAGGAATAGAACAAAAGTAATATTGACCAAAAAAATCAGTAAATGTACTGGTAAATCACACACAATGATTGTTAAAAAGAATTTCTATCGATGTCATTTTTTTTTTAAGGGGTAGGGCATTATCCTAGAATAAAAGTCAGTAAGAGGACAAAACAACATATACAGTGAGTGAACCCTCCTTGGATCCTGGTTCAAAAACAAACATTTACAAAGAACATGTTGGGGGACAAGAGAAGTTTTATTTACAAACTTAAGAACAGCAGAACATTATACGTATGGTTAGATGCAAAGTAAAATTATTTTTATAAACATACATCAGAATAAACTTAAGATTTAGGATAGTGGTTACCTCTGCAAATGCAGAATGAACGGTCAAGGCCAAGGGGTTAATATCCAAAATATACAAACAGTTCATACATATCAATATCACAAAAACAAACCCAATCAATGCATGCTGCAACTAAAAGTTCACATGCCACAACTAAGGAGCCCACAAGCCATAACTAAGGAGCCCACCAGCCACAACTAAGGAGCACACGTGCCACAACTAAGGAGCACACGTGCCACAACTAAGGAGCCTGCCTGCTGCGACTAAGACCCGGTACAACCAAATAAATAAATAAAATTTTTTTTTTTTAAAAGGGCAGGGCTTCCCTGGTGGCACAGTGGTTGAGAGTCCGCCTGCCAATGCAGGGGACACGAGTTCATGCCCTGGTCCGGGAAGATCCCACATGCCGTGGAGCGGATAGGCCCGTGAGCCATGGCCGCTGAGCCTGCGCATCTGGAGCCTGTGCTCCACAACGGGAGAGGCCACAGCAGTTAGAGGCCCATGTACTGCAAAAAAGAACCAAAAACAAACAAACAAACAAAAAGGGCAAAAGCTCTAAATAGACATTTCTCCAAAGAAGACATACAGATAGCCAACAGGCACATGAAAAGATGCTCAACATCACTAATTATTAGAGAAATGCAAATCAAAACCAGAATGAGGTATCAACCTCACACTTGTTAGAACGGCTCTCATTAAAAAGTCTACAAATAATAAATGCTGGAGAGGATGTGGAGAAAAGGGAACCCTCCTGCACTGTTGGGGGGAATGTAAATTGGTGCAGCCACTATGGAGAACAGTATGGAGGTTCCTTAAAAATCTAAAAATAGAACTACCATATGATCCAGCAATTCCCCTCCTGGATATATGGGCGGGAAAAACGAAAACTCTAATTTGAAAAAACACATGCACTCCAATGTTCATAGCAGCACTATTTACAATAGTCAAGACTTGGAAGCAACGCAAGCGCCATCAACAGATTATTGGCTTAAGGCTTAAGAAGATGTGGCATATATATACACACATACACACACAATGGATATTTCTCAGCCATACAAGAGTGAAATATTGCCATTTGCAGCAACATGGATGGACCTAGAGAATATTATGCTTAGTGAAATAAGTCAGACAGAGAAAAACAAATACTATATGATATCACTTATATGTGAAATCTAAAAAATAATACAAATGAATTTATATACAAAACAGAAACAGACTCACAGACATAGAAAGCAAACTTACAGTTACCAAAGGGGAGAAGGAAGTGGGGGAAGGGACAAAGGAGTATGAGATTAACAGATACAAACTACTTTAATACATAAAATAGATAAGCAACAGGATTTACTGTATAGCATAGGGAATTATAGCCAATATCATGTAATAGCCTATAATGGAATATAACCCGAAAAAAAAAATCACTATGGGGCTTCCCTGGTGGCGCAGTGCTTGAGAGTCCGCCTGCCGATGCAGGAGGCGCGGGGTCGTGCCCCGTTTCGGGAGGATCCCACATGGCGCGGAGCGGCTGGGCCCGTGAGCCATGGCCGCTGGGCCTGCGCGTCCGGAGCCTGTGCTCCGCAAATGGGAGAGGCCACGACAGTGAGAGGCCCGCATAACGCAAGAAAAAAAAAAAATCACTATGCTCTACACACCTGAAACTAAAATATTGTAAATCAACTATACTGCAATTAAAAAAAAAAGAATACTCAAGGAAGGGTGGATACTCAAGGGTTAACTACACTAGTACTTTAAAAAAAAATCTAAAGCAAATACTACAAAGATTTGACAAGTGTCCAGTAAACAGGTATTTATAATATTCCTGTACTTAATAATGCTGAAATATAATTTTTTAAAACTACTGAAAAGAAAAATCACTTCCAGCAAGATGTAATATGTAAGGCATAGGAGGGAAAAAGCTGTTGTACTTTAAGCAAAGTAAAGTGGTTTACTACAAAAAGTATAAAATAATGTTGAGGTTCCCCAGCCCAGACCACGGCTCTAGAGGGGAAAAAAAAAAGGAATCCCAAGAGTACAAACTGTGCAATGTCTGAAGGAAAGGGTTACCCCCAAAGATCCTATCAAACACTTTTAAAATGTGGACTTCTAACTAAACTTCATAAACAGACACAAATATTCCCTCACTCTGAAGGCGACACAGAAATCTCCAAATGGACGTGAGGACAATTTCATGGTTTCACAGGGCCTAAGCTAAGCATGCCAAGAGTACAAAGGCCCTTTCCATGCTGAAGTGAGAACACAATGGCAACCAAATATGCCAAGAACTATCAAAGTAATTCTATCATCATAAGCAATGCTCTGTATCTGAAGATCTTTTTCATTCATCAAACTATGCAGTCTTTTATGTCTACTCTTCTGCTGGCGCCTATCCTTGACCCTTGCTCTCTGGTCGATGATCTTTCCCAACTAGTGTCCTCCCCACATACACCTGACTCCCAAACCAATCACCTATCCTAGCTGTGTTCATCCTTTTTCTTCGTAAGTCCTGTGCTAACTGCTGCCATGACTGATGGCCTGCCTAAACTCAACTGTGACCTATATTTATTACCTGCTCCAGATTGGCTAAATAAGTCATACATTTTTTATTCATTTATCCCTCCACCTATCTACCTTACATTTACTGAACCCAATAAAAATTTCTTGTACACAAGTACCAGGCAATTGGTAAAACTGAGTATGAAATGGATATTAGATATTGTAGAGAAATTAATTTTTTAGGTGTGATAATGGTATGATATTTGAGGAAACTGAGATAATTATTAATTTTAGGTGTAATATCAGTATGGTAATTAAAGAGGAAAAAGTCCTTATTTTCATGGGAATGCATGCTGAAACACTTAAGAGTGAAGTGTTAAGGTCTCAGACTTACATGGTTTAGCAAACAAACATACACATTTAAAGCAAAAATCTCAACTGTTGAAACAAGCAACAGTTAAGTATTCAGGTAATTACTGTACTATTCTTTCATGTTAAAAAATTGTGGGCTTCTATACAAAACTTGTAAACGAACATTTATAGCAGCATTACTCATAACAGCCAAATGGTGGAAATAACCCAAATGTCCATCAGAGGACAAAAAGATAAACAAAATTCGATTCAATCATACAACAGAATGTATTCAAACAAAGTAATGAAGTATCGATACATGCTACAACTTGGATAAACCTTGAAAACACTGTGCAAAGTAAAAAGCTGTGCAACTGAAAGAAAGGAGACACAAAAAGCCTCATGTTAACTGAGGCTCAAATGACTGAAATGCTTTGTTCATTTCACCACAGTTAATAACGGGGGAAAAAAAACATGAAAGTTTATAAAAGAACTGTTATCATAGTGAGAAATATTAATGAGAGGGAAGTTTAAAAGAGAAAAAAATAACCAACCTGGAAGTGAAGCAGGGTACTGCAAAAGAATACTCTTCGCATATGCTTCTTCTGAGGCAGGATCAAACGAAAGGGGAGACATAGGTGGTAAAAGATCCACAGCCTTAAAACACAGAATTTGTTATTTTGAAATGTACACACTTTACTCAGTACCAAAGTAACAATACTAAGTAAATCTATGAATGGATGATTTTTTTTCCCTAACAAAGAAAGAATTAGCAAACATACAAATTATCCTGTAACTATTTTTAAACTAAGGAGTATGATATTAGGAACAAGAGGGCTACTTTGCCCTCCAACTATGCCTCAAATGTAATAGTACCTAAAATAAAGAGGAATGTCTCAATTTTTTTTTTTTTTTTTAATTGTAATCCTTACTGTTACCGGCCAAAAACTCTGGACCTAAATCCCGTTGTCTTTGTTGAAAGATGAACCAACTGCACGGAAAGGTTTGAGATGCACTGGCAACAAAGTGAGACTTGCTCTTCACCGAGATCAGAAGTATTAAAAGGGGATTGCACATTGTCCTTGTTTGAGTCACTTATTAAATGCCACTCGGACTTCTAGCCGGGGTGTGTCCCATGGACACTCCCCCCCCCACGCCCACCCCCACCTCCCGCCATAGCTGTGAAGCTCAGAGCAATGCTTTGCAACAAACTGAATTCTCAACGTGTTCATAGGGACTGTGGGGCTTGGTCTTTGGTCAAAGGCTCAGCCATTCCGAGGAATCCTACCATATTTTTGCTTCCTGCTCTAGTAGGTCTAGTGTCCTGGGTTTGGGGTGAGACATGTGGACTAGAGCTGTGAGATTGCACAGAGGACTGAGTGTTTTTCATGTTCTCCATGTCCGGGCATGCACAGACCCCGAGAGGATACGGTCCAGGTCCCTTCATTCTGACGGGGAACTTTACCATGTCGAACTGTTGTGTTTACCATGTGCGTTTGTTACCTTTTCATCCTCATCTTTCCCATCAGAAACTTGAACTTGTGGTTTTACTCTTTCAGGCTCTTTTACTTCTGGTCTCCGTTTGCTAGCTAGATCTTTGGGTTCACTTTTGTGCCTCTTTTCATCTTTGTCTTCTCCTTCATTCATTTCAGCCTGAGCTCCTACGGGCCTCGCATCTCTGTCTGGCTTCTCCTTAGATTTCTGTTTAGGTGTTAGTCCTTCGGTTTGACTTCGGAGTCTCTTTACTTCCTGGAGGTGACCAGGCTTTACTTTATCATCTCTTTCTTCTTCTTCCACGTGTGTTCCTGGTCTTACTCTTCCCGGTTCTTCTGCAGGGAGCGGTCCAGCAACTTGTTCTCTGGATGTAACTATGTCTCTTTTCCTCCTGGTCTTTTTCTTCTTCATCGACAGAATCATCTGATTTTGCTTTTTCAGGGTCTTCCTCAGGCTTCCGTTTGGCAGGGCCCCTTGTGAAATGAGATGTGACGGTGGTCTGCCTGGTAGTTTGCCTTGTAATCCTGGGGCTACATGAGACTTCAGATTTTGTTTCTCCATCGGACTTGCTTCTCCTGGGCATGCAAAGTTTGGAAACAGGTCTGGGGGACTTGTTCTTCTCTGCTATTTCCACTCTGTGGTCCTCACCACTTGTCTGGCTCCCATTTTCTAGACATACATTCACTTCCCGACTGAAAGCATGAGCTCCGTTCTCCAAGGACAAATCTTTATTTAAAAGGGATTTGGGGCTTCCCTGGTGGCGCAGTGGTTGAGAGTCCACCTGCCAATGCAGGGGACGCGGGTTTGTGCCCCAGTCTGGGAAGATCCCACATGCCGCGGAGTGGCTGGGCCCGTGAGCCATGGCCATTGAGCCAGCACGTCCGGAGCCTGTGCTCCGCAACGGGAGAGGCCACAGCAGTGAGGCCCGCATACCACAAAAAAAAAAAAAAAAAAAAGGGATTTGACTTGTGCCAGGTAGCCCTCCCCTGATAATTCTTCTTTATGTAATTTGGTTTCCAAGTCACATAACTGATTCTTTATTTCTGTCTGCAGAAATTCATGCAAGAGATTCCATTTCTCCTTTACACATTCCTTTTCTGCTAAACTATCTCTTTCCAAATCTTTGAGCCGGATGGTCTCGAGGATTTCGTGAGCAGCATCATGGGGTTTGTCATAGACCGGCAGCGGCCACAGGTAGACAGCAGGCTCAGCCCCCACAGGCGACTTGAGTCTCAGCACCAGCTTCTCCCCGATCTCATTTTCTTTTTAATACAATCCACTGAATCTAAAAATATTAACTATATCACAACAGCAGCTTAATGAACATTCTAATATGTATTTAGAAAAATCACAGAAACCAAAATATTTGAACTTTAGGCTCATATGCAAAGATGACAAGCATACACACATACAGCATTTCCAGGTCATTTGTAACATGATAAATCAAGAGTTTGCAAGAGATTAAACTACTCTCCAAAAGTCAAGTCAATACTACTTACTGGAGTCCAACCTTTAATTAGACTGAAAGGAGACAGGCCGAGAAATTCTTTCCAATTTTTATGCCATTCTTCTTGTTTTTCAACAATAGAATGTTTTATAGTTGAGAGATCTTCTTTTATTTTACACCTGTAACGGCATAAAAAAGAACTTCATTCAAAACATGAATATATAAAAAGAAGCACTGAGAAAAAGTGTTGAAGAATACTATAGCTCCTAGAGAAAGGGCAGAAAGTATAACTGAAAGTTCAACCAATTCAGCACACCTAAATTGCATAAACTCTCCCATTGAGAGTTCAGAATCTAAAATACCTTGTTTCCTTTTAACACCAAATAGCAATCATACATCTGTACTCCATTTATCTTTAAAAATATTGGGCTGGCCAAAAAGTTCGTTCGGGTTTTTCCCTAAGATGGTACCCAAACAAACTTTTTGGCCAACCCCACACAATTTTTTCCTGGTTCTGAACTCAAGGTGAAATTCTACTCCTACTCTCTATCCATTTCTAAAGAGAACCCATACCTTCTGGTCACCCTGCTCAATATGAACAATTTTTCTAAAACCTAGTTCTATTAGTAGACCCTACAAAAGAAAAGCTAGAGAAAAGTCAGAATTATTTGATAAAGAATTATCACTCAGGGCAAATAATATACTCCAGACAAACGAAAACTACATTAATTTTCCTTGCTACTTCACGTGTCTCTCTAGAAGTTGGTGACATAAGGTTTTTGAGTATGAGTAAAATTTTCACATTTGTTTGCCAAAGCTACTGAATTGTTAACTAAACAAGAGTTGTGCTGAGAAATTATCAAAACCACCCTATTCCTACCCCAATGAAATAACAGAAGATCTTTCTAGTGTACCTCATATGCTTCAGATCTGACAATCTTTCTCTCTGAACTTTGGTCTCTTTTTCAAGGAAGTGAAGGTCTATTGTCAGTCTTGCTTGGTTAGCCTGACAATGTTCATATTTCATTACTTTCAAGACTTCATTTAATAACTGAATAACTGTTAAGAGATTCAATTTTCCAGCCTCATAAACATTTCCTATGTGCAACTGAAAAAAAAAAGTAGTGAACTATAGATTGTTAACATAATAAAATGCTACAAAAATATATTTACATTGTTCACTATCATATAAAAAGTTTACCTTAAAAAAGAGTGGAAAAAAAGAACGAATCTCTACCCAAAAATAAAACTATGTAAATAATTCTGGCCCAAAGAAAACTACTGTGGAAGAATTAACACACCATGCTACACTTTTATATCATGCAAAAAAGCTGAAACTAGAATAAAAGAAATGCAAATAAATGGAAAGCAAAATGAAGGCTGAGGAGAAAGATCAGGTTTGGAGAAAGATCATGAATTCATGTTTTACCAAAAGTTGCAAATTAAAGGACCCCTAAAGGTTGATTCCAAACTTAGACATGTTTATTTGGCCTGCACAGTTCCAATGTTTTAAAATCATCTGAATTAGTTGCTAATATTTTTTAAAATCACAGATTTCACACAAAATTAGTTCCCCAAAGATCTCATCATTTCCTACTTTACCCTTATTGTTACACATAATTAGCATACTTCATCTATATAGTATTACCTGCCTAGCCCCTGTAGGAATCTGAGTTTACAGATCCTGATTTTTTGGTACTCTGAATTTGAAGTGCCTGACATGTTACCTATTAAAGTGAAAACTCTTCAGGGTCACAACAATATTTTACCTTTATATCCCCTTCACTATAATAAAACCTGGCACATAGGAGAGGCTCAAAAAATTTTAAATTTACTAAGAAAAAAAAACGTAGGCTATTCAGATGGAAATGTCCCATAAGCAAGTCAAAATAATTTGACGTAATTTTGAGTTGAAGGGGAGAGACTGGAAATACCAATCTGGTAATATTATTGTATAGGAGTCTGATGAAGCCATGGAACTGGGTAAGAAAATACAGATGGATTTATAATGTGGGAAAGAAAAGGGGCCATTAAAGGAACCATGGGGAACATGTTCATTTAAAAGTTAGAGAAAAAGGAACCAGTGGAAAACTGGAGACAGCAGTCTGAAACACCACAGGACGACAAAGACACTGAGGTCACAAAAGCTAAAGGAAGAAAAAACTTTAAAACATTTAATAGCATCAAGATGAAAGAAAAACGAGAGAAGAGTTTTTAAAAAGAAATTTAGCATTCAGGAGATCACTGGTGCTTTGAGAATTTATAAAAAACTAAGTATCATATCATCTTCCTACTAAGTACATTCTACTCTCTACACTATATGATGTAGCGCTATACAACGTACGGACAATGAATAAAGGTTGATAGATGTGAATATAAACACCTTTAACAGTACCCCTCTTTATGAAAGATTTACCAGATATATTCACAAAGGTAAATTCTGAAAACAGTAGAAAAACATTGTGAGAAAAACAATATACATTATATTAAAAAACTATGTGAAGCGAGTTTTCTCAAAGCTCCCTTAATTATCGAATGCTTACCTGACACATTTGTTTCTCAATTTTGTCAAGTAAGAGCCTTGGAATATTGATAGCAACATTAGTTCCATCTAAAGTATATTGGTTAACAACACTAAGGACTGAACTAACAACTTCTCTCTCTTTTTCCAAAACCATGAGTGTTTCATTCACTGAAGCCCACAAAGACCGAACCTTCAAAAACAGAGACAAACAAATTATTAAAGTCTATACATAATCTATACATAAAGATACGTAAAATACAAATATATGCTCATTCCTAGGAACAAATTAGGTATTCCTGGAATGGCTTCTGGTAAGAAAACTATTTTAACAGTCTAAAAGCACTGATATTACTTTCAAGGGCACTTTAAAACTAAAGAATTTCTCAGGAGAATCTAGCCCACTATGATTTGCAAAACATATCTAAGAAACCTTATACTACGGAGATGCAATTAACATTTCCTGTATTCTTAGATGCCATCAGGGAAAATAAAAGATTTTCAGGAGAAAATGAAAACACTACACATCAATTTTAAGAGTCATTCAAGTTTCAAAAAGTTAAAATGTTGAAAACTATATATTAACCTATGTTTATTAAATTCACATATAAGAATGTTCACAGCACTCCTATTTGTAATACTCAAAAACTGCAATCAACCCGAAGAACTACCTTGAATAAAAAGTATACTTTCCTTTAATCATAAAATAGAACATTATACAGCAATGAGAATGAACACATACAACAGCATGGATAAAACAGCATGAGTGAAAGAAGTCGAACACAAAAGAATATATTCTATACAGTCCCCATTCACACAAAGTTCAAGAACGGGCAAAACTAATCTTTAGCATAGGAAGTGAGAATAGGGTTTCCCTGGTGGTGCAGTGGTTAAGAATCCGCCTGCCAATGCAGGGGACACGGGTTCGATCCCTGGTCCGGGAAGATCCCACATGCCATGGAGCAACTAAGCCCGTGTGCCACAACTACTGAGCCTGCACCCTGGAGGCCACGAGCCACAACTACTGAGCCCACATGCCACAACTACTGAAGCCTGCATGCATACAGCCCATGCTCTGCACCTAGAGAAGCCATCGCAATGAGAAGCCCACGCCCACGCATCACAACGAAGAGTAGCCCCCGCTCGCCGCAACTAGAGAAAGCCTGCATGCAGCAATGAGGACCCAATACAGCCAAAAATAAATAAAATAAAATTAATTAATTTAAAAAAAAAACAAAAAAAGAAGTGAGGATAGTGTTTACTCTTGGAAGGAAATGGTAATGAAAGAAAGGGGGTTCAATGCTGCTGGGGGGATAACATTCTGTTTCTTTAACTGGATGCTGGTTACATGGATGTGTCCACTTTGTGAATTTTGTCAAGCTTCACACTTACGATTTTTGCACATTTTTATATGTATGTTATGCCTCAAAAGAATTTACGTAAGTGGGAAAGAGGCGGGGAAATACACTAATTATATTTGTGTTAGTGTCTGTGTCTTCTCACAGTACAAAGTAAAGTTGTTTCCCCAAAGGAAGACTCATTGGCTGTCCATCTAAAGATCTCATAGGATGGCATTTCCTTGGTGAACATACAAAGATCCAGGATCTGGTTCTCAGATTTTTCAAATCTAGAAAGTTTACCTTCTCAATGGCTCAAAGTTGACTGGACTCAGGGAAAACTGAACATTACCCAAACTCAAGAGAGATTGCTATGAAAACTCTTAACAGGTTTCATACCAACCAAACCTATTCAGCCTACAATCAAAGATACTATATTCAGCAATAGGAATATTCATATTCACTAAACTGGAAGCTCCATAAAGGAAGTGACTCTGCCTGTTTTCTTCAGTGCTCTAGTCCATAATATCTAGAAGAATACCTAGCAAATGGCAGGTGACCAATAAATATTCACTGAATTAATGAATAATTACTACCTGAGGAGGGCGCTCACCTTTTCCAGTGACAAAGTGCCTAAAAAGCCAAATTAATACCCCAAAGCAGCTTGGTGACCATGGAATCAGAACAAGAGCTTGAGAGAGATTTCATCCAAACACAATGGTCTAAGAAAACACTCCTGCCCACATTTGTTAAAGCCAGCCTCTGAAAGCCTCAGATCATTTATGTCTGCCAGATTCCTCTCTACTGCCATGTCAGCCTCAACATGACTTCTCATCGTTCTTCCATACTTACCATCTGCCATCACGTAATGTATTTTATTTAGATAAATACTACTGATTAAGTTAGAATCAAGCTGAATTTTCCCTGCTGGCATGAAAGATTTTAAATTAACCAAATTTAAACTGGTTAATTTAAAACTGCTTTTGTATATATTTAGTCTGATAGATTATAAGCTAATTTTTCCATTATATTCAAGTATTTTAGAGAGATACACGAGTTCAATTAAGTAAACACTGCATAACACAAAAGAAAGATTAAATTCCTATCTTCAAAAGTTGTCTTGACCAGTCCCTCCCATCAGGAAGCTTCCACAGCCTCTTAGGTAGCCTCATCCACTAGAGGGCAGACAGCAGAAGCAAAAACAACTACAATCCTGCAGCCTATGAAACGAAAACCACATTCACAGAAAGACAGACAAAATGAAAAGGCAGAGGACTATGTACCAGATGAAGGAACAAGATAAAACCCCAGAAAAACAATTAAATGAAGTGGAGACAGGCAACCTTCCAGAAAAAGAATTCAGAATAATGATAGTAAAGATGATCCAGGACCACGGAAAAAGAATGGAGGCAAAGATCCAGAAGATGCAAGAAATGTTTAACAAAGACCTAGAAGAATTAAAGAACAAACAAACAGAGATGAACAATACAATAACTGAAATGAAAAATACACTAGAAGGGATCAATAGAAGAATAACTGAGGCAGAAGAACGGAAAAAGGACCTGGAGGACAAAATGGTAGAAATCACTGCCGTGGAACAGAATAAAGAAAAAAGAATGAAAAGAAATACAGACAGTCTAAGAGACCTCTGGAACAACATTAAACACACCAACATTCGCATTACAGGGGTCCCAGAAGGAGAAGAGAGAGAGAAAGGACCCGAGAAAGTATTTGGAGATTATAGTTGAAAACTTCCCTAACGTGGGAAAGGAAATAGGCACCTAATTCCAGGAAGAGCAGAGTCCCAGGCAGGATAGACCCAAGGATAAACATGCCGAGACACGTAGTAATGAAATTAACAAAAATTAAAGACAAAGAAAAATTATTAAAAGCAACAAGGGAAAAACAACAAATAACATACAAGGGAACTCCCATAAGGTAAACACCTGACTTCTCAGCAGAAACTCTACAAACCAGAAGGGAGTGGCACGATATATTTAAAGAGATGAAAGGGAAGAACCTACAACCAAGATTACTCTACATGGCAAGGATCTCACTCAGATTCGAAGAAGAAATCAAAAGCAAAAGATATGAGAATTCAGCACCACCAAACCAGCTCTACAACAAATGCTAAAGGAACTTCTCTAAATGGGAAACACAAGAGAAGAAAAGGACCTACAAAAACAAACCCAAAACAATTAAGAAAATGGTAATAGGAGCATACATATCGATAATTACCTTAAATTTGAATGGATTAAATGCTTGGATTTAATGGATTAAAAGACACAGGCTTGGGCTTCCCTGGTGGCGCAGTGGTTAAGAGTCCGCCTGCCGATGCAGGGGACACGGGTTCGTGCCCCGGTCCAGGAAGATCCCACATGCCGCAGAGCGGCTGGGCCTGTGAGCCATGGCCGCTGAGCTTGTGCGTCCGGAGCCTGTGCTCCACCACAACAGTGAGAGGCCCATGTAACGCAAAAAAAAAAAAAAAAAACGAATGGATACAAACACAAGACCCATATATACGCTGTCTACAGGAGACCCACTTCAGACCTAGGGACACATACAGACTCAAAGTGAGGGGATGAAAAAAGATACTCCATGCAAATGGAAATCAAAACAAAGCTGGAGTAGCAATACTCATATCAGATTAATAGACTTTAAAATAAAGAATCTTACAAGAGACAAGGAAGGACACCACATAATGATCAAGGGATCAACCAAGAAGAAGATATAACAATCATAAATATATATACACCCAACACAGAAGCACCTGAATACATTAAGGCAACCGCTAACAACTATAAAAGAGGAAATCAACAGTAACACAATACTACTGGGGAACTTTAACACCTCACTTACACCAATGGACAGATCATCCAGACAGAAAATTAATAAGGAAACACAAGCTTTAAATGACACAACACACCAGATAGATTTAACTGATATTTACAGGACATTCTATCCGAAAACAAAAGATTACATTTTCTTCCCAAGGACACAAGGAACATTTTCCAGGATAGATCACATCTTGGGTCACAAATCCAGCCTCAGTAACGTTAAGAGAACTGAAATCACCTCAAGCATCTTTTCCGACCACAACTGTGAGCTTAGAAATAAATTACAGAGAAAAAAACATAAAAAACGTAAACATATGGAGGTTAAACAATACCTTACTAAACAACCAACAGATCACTGAAGAAGTCAGAGGATATCAGAAAATACCTAAAGGCAGGGCTTCCTTGGTGGCACAGTGGTTGAGAGTCCGCCTGCCGATGCAGGGGACATAGGTTCGTGTCCCGGTCCGGGAAGATCCCACATGCTGCAGAGCAGCTGGGCCCGTGAGCCATGGCCGCTGAGCCTGTGCGTCCGAAGCCTGTGCTCCGCAACAGTAGAGGCCACAACAGTCAGAGGCCCGCGTACCGCAAAGAAAATAATAATAATAATCTTCCAACAAACAAAAGTCCAGGACCAGATGGCTTCACAGGTGAATTCTACCAAACATTTAGAGACCTAACACCCATCCTTCTCAAACTCTTCCAAAAAAATTGCAGAGGAAGGAACACTCCCAAACTCATTCTACGAAGCCACCATCACCCTGATACCAAAACCAGACAGAGATACTATAAAAAAAAGAAAATTACTGACCAATATCACTGATGAATACAGATGTAAAAAACCTCAGCAGGGGCTTCCCTGGTGGCGCAGTGCTTGAGAGTCCGCCTGCCGATGCAGGGGACACAGGTTCGTGCCCTGTTTCGGGAAGATCCCACATGCCGCAGAGCGGCTAGGCCCGTGAGCCACGGCCGCTGAGCCCGCGCGTCCGGAGCCTGTGCTCCGCAATGGGAGAGGCCACAACAGTGAGAGGCCCGCATAACGCAAGAAAAAAAAAAAATCCTCTGCAAAATACTAGCAAACAGACTCCAGCAGCACATTAAAAAGATCATATACACCATGATCAAGTGGGATTTATCCCAGGGATGCAAGGATTCTTCAATATACACAAATCAATGTGATATACCATATTAACAAACTGAAGAATAAAAACCATACAATCATCTCAATAGATGCAGAAAAAGCTTCTGACAAAATTCAACACCCATTTATGATAAAAACTCTCGAGGAAGTGGGCATAGAGGGAACCTACCTCAACATAATAAAGACCATATATGACAAACTCACAGCAAACATCATTCTCAATGGTGAAAAACTGAAAGCACTTCCTCTGAGATCAGGAACAAGACAAGGAGGTCCACTATCACCACTATTATTCAACATAGTTTTGGAAATCCTAGCCACAGCAATCAGAGAATCAAAAGAAATAAAAGGAAGATAAACTGGAAAAGAAGAAGTAAAACTGTCACTGTTTGCAGATGACATAATACTACACAGAAAAATCTAAAGATGCTATCAGAAAACTACTAGAGCTAATCAGTGAATCTGGTAAAGTTGCAGGATACAAAATTAATGCACAGAAATCTCTTGCATTCCTACACACTAACAACAAAAGATCAGAAAGAGAAATTAAGGGCTTCCCTGGTGGCGCAGTGCTTGAGAGTCCGCCTGCCAATGCAGGGGACACAGGTTTGTGCCCCGGTCCAAGAAGATCCCACATGCCGCAGAGCGGCAGGACCCGTGAGCCATGGCCGCTGAGCCTGTGCATCCGGAGCCTGTGCTCCGCAACAGGAGAGGCCACAACAGTGGGAGGCCCACGTACCGCAAAAAAAAAAAAAAAGTCTCTCAGAAAGAGAAATTAAGGAAACAATCCCATTCACCACTGCAACAAAAAGAATAAAATACCTAGGAATAAACCTACCTAAGGAGGTAGAAGACCTGTACTCAGAGAACTATAAGACACTGATGAAAGAAATCAAAGATGACACAAACAGATAAGATATACCATGTTCTTGGATTGGAAGAATCAACATTGTGAAAATGACTATACTACCCAAAGTAATTGACAGATTCAATGCAATCCCTATCAAATTACCAATAGCATTTTTCACAGAATTAGAACAAAAAAGTTTACAATTTGTATGGAAACACAAAAGATATCGAACAGCCAAAGCAAACTTGAGAAAGAAAAGTGGACCTGGAGGAATCAGGATCCCTGACTTCAGACTATACTACAAAGCTACAGCAATCAAGACAATATGGCACTGGCACAAACAGAAAAATATCGATCAATGGAACAGGATAGAAAGCCCACAGATAAACCCACTCACCTACAGTCAACTAATCTATGACAAAGGAAGCAAGGATATACAACGGAGAAAAGACAGTCTATTCAATAAACGGTGCTGGGAAAACTGGACAGCTACATGTAAAAGAATGAAATTAGAACGCTGCCTAACACCATACACAAAAATAAACTCAAAATGGATTAAAGACCTAAATGTAAGACCAGACACTATAAAACTCTTAAACAGGAAGAACACTCTGACATAAACCACAGCAAGATCTTTTTTGACCCACCTCCTAGAGTAATGGAAATAAAAACAAAAATAAACAAATGGGACCTCATGAAACTTGAAAGCTTTTGCACAGCAAAGGAAACTACAAACAAGACGAAAAGACAACCCTCAGAATGGGAGAAAATATTTGCAAACGAATTAATGGGCAAAGGATTAATCTCCAAAATATATATACAGCTCATGCAGCTCAATATTAAAAAAACAAACAACCCAATTAAAAAATGGGCAGAAGACCTAAATAGACATCTCTCCAAAGAAGACATACAGATGGCCAAGAGGCACATGAAAAGCTGCTCAACATCACTAATTATTAGAGAAATGAAAATCAAAACTACAATGAGGTATCACCTCACACCAGTCAGAATGGGCATCCTCAGAAAATCTACAAACAACAAATGCTGGAGAGGGTGTGGAGAAAAGGGAACCCTCTTGCACTGTTGGTGGGAATGTAAAATGATACAGCCACTATGGAGAACAGTATGGAGGTTCCTTAAAAAACTAAAAACAGAATTACCATATGACCCAGCAATCCCACTACTGGGAATATACTCAGAGAAAACCATAATTCAAAAAGACACATGCACCCCAATGTTCACTGCAGCACTATTTACAATAGCCAGGTCATGAAAGCAACCTAAACGCCCATCAACAGATGAATGGATAAAGAAGATGTGGTACATATATACAATGGTGTATTACTCAGCCATAAAAAGGAACGAAATTGGGTCATTTGTAGAGATGTGGAAGGACCTAGAGGCTGTCTTATACAGAGTGAAGTAAGCCAGAAAGAGAAAAACAAATATCATACATTAACGGATATATGTGGAATCCAGAAAAATGGTACAGATGAACCAGTATGCAAGGCAGAAACAGAGACACAGATGTAGAGAACAAACATATGGACACCAAGGGGGGAATGGGGGGTGGGGTGCGATGAATTGGGAGATTGGGATTGACACATATACATATGTATAAAATACATAACTAATAAGAACCTGCTGTATAAAAAAATAAATAAATAAAATTCAAAACAAAAAGTCTCACCTTTTGAATTTTCTCTTGTATATTACTTTGGTCATCATAGGGTTCCATTCTAGTTAAAAATTAAATAATCTCATTAGTCAATAAAAAAGCCATATGGTAATTTACCATCCAAAGAGCTAATTAATCTGCAAACCCACCTGCTAACAACCACCAATTAAAAGCAAGAATAAAATTCAAGCTCAAAGCTATCATAATTTATTAGAAGAACTGGACTAGGAATCAGAATTATGTTCTTGTCCTATTATCAACTAGCTATTGATATGTTATTTTAACTAATCTCAGTTTCCTTATCGGAAACATGCAGGAGGCTAAACTAGTATCTCAAGGAACTTTCAACTCTAAAAGTCACTTACCTTTTTATCTCGTTTTGCTGTCCTATACATTCTGATCTTAAATTCTGTATTTGTTTAACTGATAATCTGCAAGAAAACATACAAAATGACAACTGTAAATCTATTACAACTAACTAGTATAGCCCGCTTTTATATTTTCCCTCATTTCATATCTTTGCTCAAGGCCTCTGAGGACTACTCTTCCAAATATACCCAGCAGCCAGTCATAAAGGGACTCCAGGCTCCCTTTAAGAGTTACAGGAGTGGTCTAACATATAGGCGGCTATTGAAATGGACCAGGACTTCTTGGCTCATATACTCTCTGACTTCAAGAAAAATGTTACAAGTCAGGTAAGACTACTCTGCTCTCTTATCCTTATCTCACATACCATGGGGATAATTTTAAATGTTACCTAAAACAGGCAACATTGTAGTTTTAAGGAGATTTCAAAGGATTTTGTAGCTTTGGGAATAGATAACAGCATTTAAAAAGTTATCTTACTATAGTTGTTTATAATTGTAAAAAACTGGGCACAATTTATGTCTAGAGAGTAAGAACCTTGCTTGTCTTGTTTAATGCTGTAGGACTAGTGTATAACCAATATCCAGCACACAGAAGTAACTCAAGAAAGAAAAGTGCTGAACAGATGAATGTAAATATAAGACAGTATAAAATGGCTAAAGAAACTATGGAATACCTCTTCAACTAAGACACTAAGTAGAAATTAAAAGTAATACATTATGGCAATACGGAAAAATTTATAGAATGAAATATTAAGAGAAAAATGGATACAAAATAGAATGAGTACTATAATTACAGCTTAAAAATTTACTTCCATGTTTAAAAGAAAAAGCACCTAAAGAAATTGAGTTTCTGAACTAAAATGATATCTTCCTTTTCTCTAAATTTTCATTTACAGTATGCCTAAAGTTTTAAAACATTTTGCTCAGAAGTTATCAGGCTTTAAAATGGAAAGATAGGGGCTTCCCTGGTGGCACAGTGGTTGAGAGTCTGCCTTCCGATGCAGGGGACTCGGGTTCGTGCCCCGGTCCAGGAAGATCCCACATGCCACGGAGCAGCTGGGCCCGTGAGCCATGGCCACTGACCCTGCGCGTCCAGGGCCTGTGCTCTGCAATGGGAGAGGCCACAATAGTGAGAGGCCCGCATACCGGAAAAAAAAAAAAAAAAAAGGGAAAGATAACAGCCAGGGGGTTTTGAGGTAGACATGAATTATTGCCATTGAAAGAATACTGATGAGGGACTTCCCTGGTGGCGCAGTGGTTAAGAATCTGCCTGCCAGTGGAGGGGACATGGGTTTGAGCCCTGGTCCGGGATGATCCCACATGCCGCGGAGCAACTAGGCCCATGTGCAACAACTACTGAAGCCCGCACGCCTAGAACCCGTGCTCCGCAACAAGAGAAGCCACCACAATGAGAAGCCCATGCACCACAACGAAGAGTAGCCCCCACTCACCACAACTAGAGAAAGCCCACGCACAGCAACGAAGACCCAACGCAGTCAAGAATAAATTAAATAAATAAATAAATACTGATGGAATTAAAAAATAAAAAAATAAAGTGCATACACCAATGGGTTAAAAAAAAAGGATATTGATGACATTTGTTCAAAAAGAAAGGAATTTACATTTTCTAACTATCAAAGTATCACTTACTGTGCATTTTCCTGGTATTTTCGGGTAACACAATCTTCTCTTTGCAAAATTTGTAAAAATCTGTTACGTGCTACGTGGCATCTGGCAATGCACTTGTGCAAATCTTGTGGCTTTACGTTAAATGTCTCTGTAAAATGTACAGAAGAATCTACACAGCACACAAATAAAATATACAAAACTTAGACGTACAAGCTAATAAATATAAAAGTGTGAGATTACTGAGATTAACAACCTCATTTAACTAACAACTCCTTAAAAGCTGGCATGCCACATACACAAAAAGATACAACTGGGCTTCCCTGGTGGCGCAGTGGTTGAGAGTCCGCCTGCCGATGCAGGGGACACGGGTTCGTGCCCCGGTC